CACACAGACAACCCCTCGACAATATGCGTTTTTGCACTGCATAGATGCAAAAAACGCATAAAAAAAAAAAATGACGGCACTAACCGCATATCTCACGTTCAAAAGTGTCATATGAAGCTTTACGGTGTCCTGTTCGGGTGCTAACCCTGTATCACTCATTGCTTTCGCCAATGCATTCGCAACATCTGGTAATCTGTAGATAAAGAAAACTGTAAGAATAAATATTAACCGCAAAAATTAAAGCCATTCATATTGTTATAGAGCTGGGCCTGGTTATGCGGCGATGAAGAAAGATAATAAAAAAATAAGCAACCGGATTCGGCTGTTCCTCAAGGAGTTGCTGTAAAAAGAAAGCACAAAAGGCGACTGATGAGAAAAAATAAGGTAAATAACAGCAAAAAAAAGTCGATGTGGAGATTTCTGAGACAAGATGAATTGGAAACGATGTCAGCTAATATCAACAGCGAGGATGAAGATGGCGATGAAACATCAGTCCTGCACCGTTCTTTTTCTTCACCAAAGGCACTTCTAAATGATAAGAATCGAATAATAAGTAAAATAACTTACTAACAGTTTATAATACATAATATTGAAAATATATATATTGATGTTACAACAAACTTTTATTTCCTGTTTTATGAACGGCTGCATTACATCGCGCCAAAACATTTGAATTAAACTAACTTGTCCGAAGATGCACAAGCATATAACACTCGTGCACGTGTCGGATCATCATTCATGATGTCCAATCCTTTGATTTCAGCTTCCAACGGTTTTCCATCAAGAATTTTGCTAAATTACATCGTTCACTTCATAAAGGAATAACAGCAAATCACCTTTTCCTTAATATACACTAGTAGCAATTTATCATCGAAACGAATGAAACTGAATTGTACAAAAAAAAATGTCTATCCTACTGGCAAAAGCCCGACCCTGCGACTAAAACGAGAGTCTTAGCCAGCAGTAACAGTAATTAGCACAGCACTTCATGGTAATCTTATGATAAAAAAATGCAATCGTGAAAATGAGGGGTTTACCTGACACTATCACTTATCGCTGCTTTGAGCGAATTTGATGCTGTTGTTTCCTCATCTTCATCCAGCAGTGACAGCATTGTCAGGGTGAGATGCAATTTGCCTGGTTGCTGGAAAAGTGCAGCAAATCGGCAAGAATCCTGCAAAAAATATGAAAGTGAGCACGTCTCACAGTGTACAAAAGCTAATGAGCTAAAAAGCCTTCAGAGAATTCACGGCATACCCACCCTTCCCTCCCCTCCACCCCTCCTCCTCCCAAAAAAACGAGAATATGCCTCAAATTCGCTGATACGATTTTGCCAACAGGGGCCATTTTTTGTCGAGAGAAGGTAGCAAGAAAGAAAAGATGTATTCTGCTCCAGAAGCCAGACAAAAAGTAAACGTACTGTCAGGCTAATCCTGGAGTGTAACGTTTTATGAGTTTTCGAATCAATGAACAATGAAATGATCTGTTGTTACTTTACAATTGCACCAATGAAAAGTCTAAGAATACGCACTTCCACCAACTTAGTAATATTTGAGCTGTTAAATATTTGGATAAAAATAGTAATTCAGTGGTAGATTGAGATTACAACTGAGATTTGAGGGTAGGAGAGAACAAGGGTGCAGCTGGGAAGGGGCAGGGGCACAGGTAAGAGGAGGGGCAGAGAAACTTCACATCACAAGTAATATGCACTCAACTGTACATGCAGGGTGCCCTTGATACTTGCACGATAACCTGACTGTTACGCAAGCATGCCGCTCCGTCTCACCAGTCAGTGGGCGGAGCGCTCCGCAGACCAGCGGTGGGGGTGGAGCGACTTTACTAGTAACGGGCCTCTCACAGCAGACATTCTATACGGCTCGGCACCATGGACATCTGAGCACACGCTACCTGGATTTTGAATTTCTTGTGTCCGGTGGTACAGTGGGTACTACGCCGCATGCGGATATGAAGGGAAGTGCTTCAATTCCTTCCTGGTCCATAACCATTTTCGAAAAGAGGTTCCGTCCAAGTCAGTTAGGAGCAATTCACAATCTTGATGAAGTATCTTACTGATTGCGAAAAAGAAATACGTATGTGAAAGATAGTTTAAAAAAACCCCTACCGGTAATTCATCATCCTGTTGCACAGCTTGGGAGAATTCTTCAAATTTTTTTCTTATATTTTCATGGATCATCGGAATGGAGACAAAATGTGTAAAAGCGACACGATTGCGCACTTCCAATAACAGCAATTCGATTCTATCACGACAACGCATCACACTCTCCTCCGACGTTGTTGACAGTATCTCTGCAGTATGAAAAAATTTGACAAAAATAGACAATTTTGACTAATATACAAAAAAAAGGAAAAACTGAAAAAAAGCACCTGAAATTAACCCAAAAAATAAGCCCACAAAAACGCCAAAAAAAAAAAATTGCGTTGGTCATCTGGCAAGAATAAGAGACAACAGATCGATGAAATGAATTACTGAATATTGACCACGTATGAAGAAAGTGCCAACACCCGACCAAGACCCTCTCAACGTTACTGATTTTCATCCGCATTCACACAGCAATATTGCGCCCCTTTGCAACAGATATCGATATTTAGTTGTCACATGCAGCTGTTATGTCGCCTTTTAACAAATATTACACGTTTTGACCAATGCAACACACTAAATATGTGATAATCGACATACCTATTGGGCTTTTTCTTTTACGCTTACTGGGGAACACAAGGCGACAGTTGGTTTCGTCCTGAATCTTTCTTTTTACTGAACCTTGAGGACCAATTACAAATCGACGTAATAGAGCCGGTATTTTTATCCTGAAAAAAAGAAAATGCGCTTTCTTCAGACATTTTTGCTTAATGACCGAAAAACAAATCCTATTTTGATTTTCTTCAATTAATATAAAATGAAAGACTGCATATTTAATCTTCAGGGTCAGGAACAATCAAACCAGCAGTCACTTTTCCGCCAGCAATCATACCCAGGTCTTATTCTAATCTTAATCCTTTGGACTGTTCATATGAGCCTTTTTGGCTCAACAGATAGGACGACCTTACATTGTATTAACCCAAATATGTTCGTTAATATTGAGGAGTCGAGAACTTCAAAAAAATGAACACAAAAGAACTGGAGACAATTTTTCAGCGCAGATCGGCTTTTTTTCAAAAATTTCTTTACTGTTTCTGGTAATTTCACTCAAAAAAAAAAAAACAAAACTAGACTGATTCTATTCTACGACAAGTTGATAAGACAGTGGAGGCAACCACATCATCTACTGTGCAAAAAAAGCTTTGAAAAACCATGCCAAAAAGTGGTTACCCTGTACTTCCCACCTTGACAACTGGCGGATGTTGTTTATTATTTATTAATTCTCTTTAATTACTACTAATTTTCAAATACAGCTCAGAACCGAAGAGCCTAGCACAGCTTCGTTTGGCTTATCTTAGCATTACAGTAACACGAATAATTTGGGATAGCCAAGCTGATTTTCTAAGTGGTTAAAGCATTCTTGAAAACCACGAAAACGCTTACTTAGCTGACCATTTTTTTGATTTACTGTTGTAATGCACAACAAATTTTTCGCTGCTCGGCAATTCGCTCTCACTAGCTTCTTCCATATCAGTGGTCAGTACATCACTTGACTCATTCGCTGATGTTGTTGTGGCTGTTGATTGCATTTCGTCCGAACTACCAAATAATTCCTCTAAAAATTCGTCGCAATTCACCTGGGGCAAAAATTGAAATGCCAAACATTTAAATAAACATTCACAAGCTGTCAAGAGCACGTTTCAATAGCAGCCTCAAAGCCGAAGTTTCAACCCCGCCAGTGGAAAATACCGATCCTTTCACGATTCATCATTCGTTTCGATGGTAAATTGGTACTGGCATATGCGCGTGCAGTCAAACCCACCATCAGCTTGCTTCTAAGTAATCCTATCAAGAAGAAACCATTGATAAAGCCTGGAGGGGAGTTTTAATTGTACCAAAGACCCGGTCCCTAGTACCTTCCCTCTCTCCACTCAATTATTCTTTAGAAATTAGAACAAAATCATGCTTTCCCATCAACAATCCTCAATTTTCCCTTTTCTTTTAACTCAAATTAAAGTATATTTGCTTTGCTCTGTTCCCAAATTTGATTTATATCCCCCTTCTTTTTCCTTCCGTCACTGGATGGTGGATACGCCACTATTTTAGAAAGCATTTTCACAGAGAAGTGGCTGCATAACGAACCATCTGTTTTAGACGAGTCGTATAAATCTGCCGTATCACCGGTTCCAAATTTTACCTCAGATTCGTTTCTAAAAAAAGGAATTGTAAAAGAACTCAGATTCGTTTCTAAAAAAAGGAATTGTAAAAGAAAAAAACACCACACATAAGTTTTCAAAAATTTCAGTGATTTTTCTTTTCGGCTGTCATTGAAAAAGAGGCTAACGGGGGGAGGGATCTGCAAAATCCTTACTTTATATGTGGCGTATCCAGAAGCCGAATTAAAGAGGGCTAACGAATATGTTATTAGGGAAAGGAATGTATGCGACTTAATGAATCGAAAAATTTTTTCCCGTGCGACCCCATCCTACTAACTTTTTCTTTCGCTAAAGTCGTTACTTAACCATAGGCAGATCCAGGACGGACTTCTGAAGGGGAGGGGGTGATGACTGGTGGGGAGGAGAACCCTCTTACACCTTGGAAACATGCAAAAACTAGGGATAGAGTTGTAACACTGCTACTTAGAGTTACTTTAGGCTTTAATTTACTTTAGTTTTAGCTTTAAATTCGAGTGAAAAACCCACCAC